CAATAATTTTGCGAGGTCTAGCTTTTGCGTTATTCAATATTGTTTTAACGTCCTTGGCAAGGCGAATGGAAAGGACGTTCAATGACGTTTATGGGATAGGCTTTTGCGATGCGTATGTGAGTAAGTGTGCACACGACTCACGTTCACTAACGCCCACAAGAGATAGAACAGACAGAGAGAAAGGAGAAAAAAGGAAAAATACGCACCTCGCCTTGAGCTCCTAAAGTCGGCCAATCTCCAATATCCGCGAAATTGCTTGCCTGGAAAAATTTTAACGAGATTTTTTATTATTTCGTCTCATTTCTTTAATGCCTGAGTGGGTAGATTTTTCTAATTCATAAAAAAAAAAATATATATATATATATATATATATAATAATAACAGCGAAACCACACTGATTTTTCTAGGGCATTCAATATAATAATAATGCATTGGTTCGATATACACATAAATATTGACTACTTCAATATGAAAAAGTTGAAATATTAATATTAATAAAAAGCTTAATAGAATTGATATTTGACATTAATATTGTTTAAGAGCCTATTTTACTATTTTAATTCTAAACAACGTCGTTAATGTCAAAATTACTTTCTATATAATGTAGCGTAGTAACAATATATGCGTAGTTAAAGAACGAAGCTTGAATTGTGTTATTGAAATATTGACTATTTAACAATGACTTTATGAAAATTATTATTATTCGCTAAGTAAATTATAAAAATAGATAAATAAATTGAGGCATTACGATCCGTGGGGATAAGAAAAATCAAATGTAATTTTTTAATTCAACGACGTACGAAATGAATTTATGTCAACTTTTTTACAGATCGCGTATTTATGCGCTAGCATAACATTTTATCCAGATTTTCTTTATTTGTCGTTACCGATTACTGATTTAAATGAAAAATCCTCCTTACAATGGGCCATAAACAGAAAAATCGACAACTTCTCGGTAAGTATGATTAAGTTAGTCGCCGTTGCGCTTCTCATCGAGCTGGATCGAATTAAAAAAAAAAAAAAAAAAAAAAAAAAAAAAAAAAAACACGGGATGCGATAATACGTGTAGTAGTAATTCATCATACGTGTGATGAAAGCGCGTTTCGCGCTTAGCAAACTGTTAACTCCATTAGAGCACTTGAAAATAAACAAGAATGAGAATAGCGCAAAGTGTCGAAGCAAGACACAGGGTTGTCGTCAGTGGGTAGGGCGAAAATAGACAAACGGGGGCTTCGGCCGTCCCGTATTGCGTAAGGTCGTAAAATCCGCGTTCTGGAGGGCCGAAGACGCTCGTCGGCGCCTCGACCCTGCCTCGTTTTTCCGGCGCTTTTATTTCGGGATTGCAGCCGTGACGTCACAATAAGCCAGTCGTCGCAGAAAGCGCGCAACCGAGGCATACGTAGCAGAGAGGCTGCTCGGGGATGCGTGGAAGCGGAGAGGGAGGGGGGGGGGGGGGGGTGTACGGCTTTCGTCTGTCTTTGGAAGCCTTTACAATTGTCGGTTGAACGCTGCTACTCACGCCGTTTTCTGCAATAAAAACAACATATTTTTCTATTTAGTGAGGCGCTATGATTATACCCTCCCTGGAGTTAAAAATTTTTCGAGTTATCTATGTAATGTAATTGCAGTTGCGGGAAATTTTAATTAGTGCGTGATTTTATCTCGATGTTAGATAAGACCTTCATAATAATGTAAATACTCATTGGAGCAGTGGTCACTATTTATTACATTTTAAATGAAGAATATATCAAAAGTTCCGTAACACCTATCTATTCACATAAAGTGGCACATATTATATAATTAAAAAACAGTTACATAAAATTTATTATTCTACTTGGGGTTAGTAATAAATCAGTTTGATTTACAATCCTATAATGAATAAAAGTAAACATAATTTCGATTCTATTGCTATATAATAGTCAACTTGATAATAGTATATTCAAATGATTTATAAATGAAAAAAAGAAAAAAAGAAGAAAAAAAGCAAAGCAAAGGTTGTGATATGAAGACAATCGTTTGCGTGGTTTCTCTCGTAAAAATTGTATCAACAGCTCATCCGTAATGAGAAAAATGAGTTCGTCGTAGCATAGTGCTAAACTTGGATCTTTATACGTGACTCAACGAGATAGACGTAGAAAATTCATATTCGTATACACACGGAGCGAATTAATCTATCAGATAAGTTCATAATAAGCTTATCGACCTGCCTGTAAGTTCAGAACAGCTTGACCTTGGTCTTTGCTTCATACGGAACATTTGGGAGTGTAAAGTCTTTTTACCCCCCCCCCCACTCATTAATAGCTAATCATCGATCAAGTACTGCCTTTAATGAGATGTATAAATGAGAAAATATTATATAATGGAATATTATATATTTTAAACGTATAAAATTTTTCAATACATTTTTTTTTTCTTTATCTATCCACAATTTCAAAAGTTAGTTAATTGGTAAATTAACTTATGCCAAGTAACTAAAAACATTCAAATTATATAGATAGATAAAAATTTAGATTACAATAATGATCATAAACTTAAATATGAAATGGAATATAAGTTGAAGTCAAATTTTAATTTCATATTAAATAAAAGCTTCTAGTAATGATTGTACATTTTACTAAAACACAAAGTGAAAGTAAAATTTATAATTGTATGTTCGAATGCGTTCGAATAAAAAAAAAATTAATATTTTACATACCATTGGTTATGCCACAAACATTTATTTGTGATATATTCATATTTGAGAAAATAATTTATAAGAACAAATTGTGTACATAAAAGGGTCATAGGACTACATGAGCATTTTACATGCGAGCGCAATGATAAATGAATTACTTTATAACCTTAAACATAACTTAATATTTACGAAAAATTTATAAAAAATAAACTATTATTCCTTAAGAGTATATGTTTCTTAAATTAAATATTCGAATAACGTCATTAAAAATATTCGATTACTAAGTCACGAAAATTCAAACATTGATAATTTGCAATATCGTGATGCCTACCTATAAATAATTTTATTAAAATATACAGTATTACTAATTTAAATAACATGTATTGAAATAATATTTTTATAACTTTCTGTAATTGTACATAAATTATTTAATTATTCAAGAAAATTTAATGAACAACAGTGGAATATCCTTGACCGTCCAAATAATAGGTTCTTCACCTCTTATTCAATATTAATCAATAAAATAAAATAATAATATTTAATATCACAAATTCGTACAAAAATTATATTCCACACAACAAATGCCACCATGCATTGTAAAACTCACCATTATGGGAATTAAAATTTTACTAAATAATTTATAATCAAAATATTGAACTACTTTTACAATGAAAATTTTTTGTATTAAGTACCAGAAAAGTATTGAAAAATTATGCTTATGAAAACATATTCTTGCTAAAATAAAAATGTAATCATACGAATTCTGGTATAGAGTTATGCATAAAAATACTTTATTATTCATAAATGTATTTCAGCATGAAATAATAAAGTTTGAGCAGCTAGCAAAAATTTATACAGAAAAGGTGATTAAAAAAAAAAAAAATATCGATTTCATTTCATATAAAATTGTAATCTATAATAATCTACAAAACTCATAATTGTATTTGTAATTTGATAAAACTCAGTTACGTCTAATATCTAATAATGAAATATTATGTATATTATGAAAGTTAAATTTATTAAATATTTAATGAATAATCTTTAAGTAATTAAACTACTTGTTAATTTTTTTTTCATTATAATCTTAATTAACAATTTGCAATAATTTGTAAAATGGGTTTGAAGAACTTGCATTCATTATATTTTGCAATTAAATTTGTGATAAATTAATTATATTAAAATAAATAACCAAGAACTTGATAAGCAACATCGCATAAAAATTACGTAATTATAAGATTAAAAACTAAGAGAAGTGAATCAATAATTATACAAATTACAAATGGATATGCAACAGATTATTAAATTCAAATATAATGATTTATAATTCATATACTTCAATATCCTCATTCAACATTATATTGTCCCTTGATTTTAATTATTAAATATATGAATTAATTGAATTTATAAACATTTCAAATATTGTAAATTATATGAGTAATATCGAGTTGTGCTTAGATGATGATCGTAATATATTTTGGTTAAAAAAATTTAGAATGATAAACATGCTGCTTTCTAAGCTAATGAAATTTTTTCATATTATACAATTAATTGAATTAATTGCATAACGAAAACTATTATTGTACTAAAGAGTTAAAACTTAATAACATAAGTAACATTATTTCAATATGCATTGAGATATGTTCGATTTTCTTAAATATAATGAAAAATAAATACCAATACAAATAAGTTATTGCTAAATTCGTAATAAGCTAAACTCAATAAAAATAAATAATTTCATAAATATTTATATTAACTTATTATATAATATAAAGAAATGGCGATGGAATTAGAGAAATGCGGTATTCGACATTAGCAGAGCCAATATTTTGTTATGATGTAATATATTCTTAGTATGACATTCAATGACTTCAAAGATGTGTAGTGAATTTAATTACATTTAACTTCACGCAAAATACAAATGGATGCAAAAATATATATATATATATATATATATATATGTAATTGCATGACAGAATCATTATGATAAATTATATTTAATCAACTGAAATTAAATATATTATATAACAATATTTTTAACCTTAAAATTTCGCATTTAATGAATGCGCTTGTTAATATATTATCACTGAATAATGAAAACCTCGCTAAATTAAAAAAAAATCGTTTAAATAAGACATTCGTCGTATGCTCTAACACTGATGCTTGCGTTCACACTTAAACGAAAAAAAGAAAGAAATCCCGTGATTAACACAATGTCCCTCTTACTTATATATATATATATATCATTTATATATATATATATATAATAATATAATATAATAAATATATATATAATATACTTATATATATATATATTCATATATATATATATATATCATTGTTTAAATAATGTAATATGCAATATTTATGTACGAAAAAGCTTATTACCACAAATTTAATACAAGTAAATAAATTATCAAATAATCAAATAATTAATCATTGGATCAAAAATGTATTAACTATACATTTTACAAATACTAGTGTGATTATGCTACTTTAATTCGTAAATTAAAAATTTAATTTTTAAATTTCCTTAAAATTATACTTTATAAAATTGATGTTTATTGAGTTTATTGTAAATACATCATAAATTTTAATTGAGAATTCCATGTAAACTCAAAATTCAAAATAGTTTCTTTCTTGATAAAATTACAAATTAATAAATTAATAGTATGTGAACAACTTATTTCTAAAGTTTCTCATTAATTTAATTACTGTTAGTTATCTTAATTATTTTTATGGCTAAAATTGTTACTTATTCCAAATCTATTGCTTGAAACAATTTGATAAGATGTAATTTAGCGAAAACATATTTTTAAATTTTGTTATCATTATTATATACCACTTAGTTAAAAATACGCCAAGAAAAGTCTTAATATTCATTTATAGATTTTTAAAATCCTCGTGAAAATTAATAAACAACAAAAAAAATAAATAAATAAATAAAAATTATAAATACATGTTATACATATATCATAAATACACATATTACTGGGTTATAAATTTAATACATTGTTGCACAAATATAATATAAAAAATAATCATGGAAAGCTGCATACAAAATAAGCATAATTTTTTTACTAATAAAAGAGGATTATTCTGAACAAAAGGTAATTTAAATATTAAAAATAAGCATTTTTCGTTAGAGGCGTCGTTTAAAATAACTTTTCTTTAAAATTTACTTTATACAAAAAGCAACATTTATTGAAGTAAGCATAAAGTAAATGAATAATTATTATATAATTTAATAATCAATATTATCGTTAAAGAATCATAACCAATCTACTTTTTTAATTAGATGGTTTTTATAACCAGAACATATAAAAAAGTTATTAAACATCAAATACAACCCACCCATTAAATCTACTAATGTTTTTCATGCTTAAAAAAGATATTTCAAAGTATAAGAATTAAATGTAAACTATGTATTATGAGTAATATCACGAATAAAAAAAAAGTCATTAAAGTTGTGGAGAATATAGTCGTATGCCGTGAAAAATATGTAAACATCAATTGGACTGCATAGAAATCACAAGCAAAATAGAGCAAATTACATGCCCATTTTGCTATATGCTTAATTATTAAATAAACGAATTTAATTTAATTAAATAATTGGCATGCATAATATACATCAGTTAGTCATTCATAAAAGTACTGATTCACATGAAATATATAACATTTTATTTAGGAGGCAAAAATGTGAATATTCAGCTCTCTTCGATTCGTTTGTACAATCGTTCCAATATCGCAAAATGTAATTATTGCGAAAGAAAGTAGTTGTCGACTTGAAGGTTGAAAGAAAAAGATAAAATATGTGCAGACTCGAGATTCTGTAGTTTTTGTGAATAAATTCGTA